AGGGGTCTGAAAAGTGACATCAGATACTGTGCAGCTGTTCAATCATTTAATTCAGCCCAATGCATTGGGAGAAGAGACTAATGTACTTGTGCTGCAGCACGAGAGCGTGAAGTGCAGGGCTTAACTCCAAAATACTCTTCAACCCACTGGCACTGAAAGGTATCCTGTTTGCATCAAAATTCAGAATTCTTTTCTGCTACTGAAGTTAGTTACTCAAAATGCAAGTGGTAGTGAGCACGGTGTAACCACTGCCACCCACCAAACATTTGTAGCACTGTGGCTCCAAGGAAAGCAAGAAAGGCTAATTGGCATCTGCAAAACATCTTGACACCAATATTACCACTATGAAAAACCAAGGACAGTAGCTGTTTCAATCCAGATCTCATACTAAACAAGACAGCCTGATTCAGGGTGAACCTGGAATCTACAGAGGTTTTAGCCAGCCTAGCCAGCAATTAGTTATGATTTCAGACAACTCTCACCACTCAATCCAGACTTAGGGTAGTATCTTTTATTATTGGTGATACAGTTTTGGGAAAAAGTCTCCACTTCCACCATACCACCAACTTCTAGCATGGTAAGAACTGAAACAGGTAGGAATCCCAGAAGGGCTTTTCTCTGACATATTTCACACATGCACACTATGTATTACTGCCCAGTAAAAGACAAAGCTTTTTAGAATGTCAGCAAGCAGTGCTTAAATTCTACTAACTAACTTGCAAAAGGAATGAGACCTTTTTGAAGCCTGCAGCCCCTAACTCTCTGCACAGCAATTACTCCCAGGACCATGGGGCCCTTTCTTGAGACAAAACTAAACTTGAGACACAAAGTCTCCTACTGCCTTATCAAGAGGAAAGAAAAAATCATCAGGTCATTAATAGATGTACTTATTCATAAGAATAAAATAATATACCTGAAAGGGATATATTGGCTCACTTGTTTACTATCTGTTTCTGGAAGCTGTTTGATAGAGAGGGCTCAGTGCTGCTTCAGAGAGACACCAAGCTGTAGTTGGTAAGAGCTGTTCTGGATGCTCCACATTCAGACACTGGATTTCACTTGCAAGTGAACAAGACACAGGACACGTTCTCCATGCGATGAAAAGGGATGATATTGAAGAGTGACAGAGAGATAAATATAGCATAGCCAACAGGATGATTCATACAATACATGTGCTTTTCCAGCATGACTCCTTTGTTGCCTTGACCTCAGCTCTTCTGCTGTATTTTATATGGAGGTGGAGACACAAAGTAGCATGTTTAGTTCTAATTAGAAGCTTCTTTAGCTTCTGAATCATAGAATTTTAAGGGTTGGAATGGACCTTACAGGTCATCTAGTCCCAACCCACCCTGCCCTGGGCAGGGACACCTCCTCACTAGATCAGGTTGCTCAAGGCCTCATCAAAACTGGTCTTGAACACCACTAGGGTTGGGACAGTCCCCACATCCCATGGCAGCCTGTGCCAGTGTCTTACCACCCTTATAGGAAAAAACTTTTTTATCACATCCTGCCTAGACTTGCCCTCTGTCATTTTGAACCCATTACCCCTTGTCCTGTCATAGCATTTCCTAACACAGAGTCCCTCTCCAGCTCCTTGTAGGCCCTTCAGATACTGAAAAGTGGCTATGAGGTATCCACGCATGAACTAAAGCTTCAGCCCAACTCTGCCTTCAGAATAACTTAAGTGGAACTGAAATTTGGTTACAGAGCAGAAAATGCACCACAAAATCTTGGTATATAGAGCAGAGGCATCTTGGGACTTAAAAATATAAACCACAGCAAAACGTCTAACAAGCAGGAATTAGAAAAAAAAAAAAAAAGAGAGGAAATTTGATTCTAGTGAACAAACATCCTGAGAGCTAAAAAATGAAACGTTTTAACTGGGCTTTGGAGACATTTGGCTAACAATTACATGGAAAACCATTTATCTCTCCTCTTTTTTTAAGGAGTATAAGAGTGGCTTTCTTTTTTATTTTTGGTTAAAGAACCAACTTGGAGGAAAGAGCAATGAAATAATTTCCTGGCTTTACCAGTGATGTTCTCCTGTGACAGAGACAAGTTGATAACTCTCTGCACTGTGGAAACAAGAGCACAATGTTTTTTCTGGATTTAGTATCATCATGGAGAATGTGAGACCTTGGGCATTAAGGTCCAAATTCTGACTCTGAGTAGCCTCCGATAAGAAAGAAGTCTCAACCTTCCCAGTAACAGCAGTGTAAACACAAAGTCAGAGCCAAAGATGATGTACTCAAACCCCCACCATTTCCTGCAGGAGCTGAGTTTGGCAAAACTAAAGGAATCAAATGTAGTTTCCAGGTTGCCAAGTGCTTGTCCAAACCCCTGGGTTCAGCAACAGAAAAAAAAAGAATGTTTTCTCCTATAAACAGTGGAAGGTTGCATCAGTTTGTTTTCATCTATATTAAAGAGCTCAGTCTGCAACTGAGATGTATAGAACAAAACCAACAATATGGACAGCTCCTATCTTTCAGAGAAGCATCCATTGAGAAATTCAGTAGTAGCTACAAAAGCCACTTTAAAGCCACTGCCAAACATTTTCAGCTCCTCTGTTATGTACAGTTATCTCCATAGTATATCGCTCAACCAGAGGAATGGTTCCCAAATTTGCTATGAGTCCCAAGTCACACCTCCCATAGAAGATGCAAACTTCAGAAATGCAATTACATTCCCTCTGAGCTGCTTGTCTAAACAATCAGAAACCCCAAACCACATTTAGCAGGTTCCTTAGATTGGTCTTGAACCTGATCCTTTCCTACAGTGTCTTCATTCTCCCAGTACCTGCATTTGCCTTTCATAACTTGGGTGTTGTGGCTAGAGCATTTGCCATTGAAGACAGAGGCATAGAAGACATTCAGAACCTCAGCCTTCTCCATGTCCAGGGTATCCAGGTCTCCCATTTCCTTCCAGAGCAGGCCCATATTATCCCTAGTCTTTCTTTTTTTAGCAACATATCTATGGAAGCCTTTCCTGTTGTCTTTGACATCTCTGGCCTGACTCAGTTCTAACTGGGCCTTAGCTTTCCTAACCTTATCCCTAGCTTCCCATTCTCCCAAGCTGCCTGCCCTGGCTTACACTTTCTGCAAGCTTCCTTTTTAACTC